TTATTTTTTCATAAAATAAAGTAAATTCAAACAAAAAACAGAAAAGAAAAACTATATTCTGAGGAGAGAGAGAAGGAGAGCTCCAAGAATCACAAAAAAGGTAACAGGAAAGGTAAAAAGCATGGTGAAAAAGAAAGGCAACACAGGAAAAAAAAAGTATGAGACAACCTACAATGCCAATAGAGTAAGAGACTCACCTTGGGAAGCACAAAGTAAACCTGGAGAGGGCTGGTAGCCAGTGATAAATAACAGACCTGCATTCCTAGCCACAAAAGAAACCCGTGGTTATTACAAGCTATATATTCAATGTGAGGAGTTACTCTAAAAGTGATTCCTCTCCCATGGCAGGCTAGCTTTGTGGAAGAAACCCAAAGCAGGACTAGCCATATCTATCTTGTAATGGTAAAACCAGGGGCCATCTTAAGAAGAGGATTATTGTTTGAGACTGTGCTACTCACAGGATCAGAGTTCATATTACTTCCACACTTCAGGGTCCCTGGAGCATGCCCCACTGCAATGACTGGGTGAGAGACAGTAGTGGAAAGGGTAAGGATTAGTCATAGATCTCCTTAGAGAAGTTTAATCAGTGAGGAGCTTAGGCTGTCAGGGCATTGTGGTCAGTAGCACCATCCTCTGTAGTAGTCAGACCTGTCGCTGTGTAGTTTTCTGAGTTGCCTGGGTCTGAAGGAGCCAGTATCAAGCCTAGCAGGTTACTTGGACCCCCTTCCCATACACTGCCTCCTTCCAGAATAGCAAATAGTGGTCTGCTTGCTTTCCACACTCTCCAGTGATATTCCAATGCTCCCAAGCCCACAGACAGGAGGACCTCTGGAGAAAATAGAGTACCTCACCAGCCTACAAGCTGTAGAACTAGTTGGGGATAGCAGTAGCTCCAAGAGTACAGGAAAAAGAAAGAAAGAAAGAAAGAAAATAAACAAAAAAAAAGTCTACAGCCCTCTAGATGGATAGAGTACTGAGACAGACTATCCATTGACTGATCTCGCCAGAAAGGCAGGGAAGGACTCAGCATTCACAGAGCTTCAACTGGTTGGTTAAGGATGAGTAAAGAGAAAATATAAGAGGCTCCAGGTATGACTCTCTATCGCTATCCCACAGAAGGTGAGTCCAATACTAGAGGTCCAGGAAAGAAGCATTACTGATCCAAACAACTCAGCTTGGATGATTCTTTTGGTCTCATTTTTCTATTTTATTCTTTTTCTTTTTCTCTTAAATTTCTTTTTTATTTACTTGTTTTTCCTGTATGTTTATTGAATTGTATTTACTATTTTTATCCCTTAATTGGATTTTTTACCTTCTTTTTTCCTGTTACTCTTATCTAACTGTAGATACTCTTTTTATTTAGATTTTTTTATCTTCACTCTTTTCTCCTCTTATCTAAGCTTCATTTTCTTTTTTAAAAGTCTTGCTTCAAGCTGGGTATGGTGGCACATGCCTGTGATCCCCGCCACTCAGAAGGCCTAGAAAGAATTGCCACAAGTTTGAGGCCACCCTGGGCTACAAAATGAGTTTAAGGCCAGCCTGAACTACTTAAGGCAACCTTGTTTCAAAAACCCAAACAGAAAAAGAAAAAAACTTTAAATCTTGCTGCTTCTTTCATTATCCTCCTTCCCCACCCCTCCATTTTATTGTACTTTTAAATTTACTCATTTTTACCCTTTTAATTTACTCTACATTATTACTGATGCTCTCTTTTCTGCTGTTAATGATGGTATAGCTTTTGCTTTTAAATTGGCTTTTACTGTATTTCAATACCTGGTTTGTCTTTGTGTCATAATCATAACATCAGGCTGTTTTCTCCTTTCATGTCCTCAAAAGAAAACTGGTCTCTAACAAGGCCCTCAATTTAAAAGTGGAAGAAATTCCATCCTAACAGATACAAAAATCTCAAATGAAAATATAAGAAGTAAAAAAACAAGGCAGCATGATTCCTTCAAAAGTCCATAACTTATCAGTAACTGAATATAAAGATAGCACAGAAAGAACAAAAGTTTGAATTTAGATATTATAGTGGATAAAATCCCACAGAAAGAATTTAAAAGACTGATTTTTAAAATCAATTTTTTAAAATGATCAATGATTTCAAAGACAAAATAAATAAAGAGCTGAATGGATTAAGGAAGACAACTCAGGATATGAAGGAACAAAGGGACAGAGATTCTGAAGAAGAGTCAAACAGAAATCTTTGAAATGGAGACCTCAACGAGTAAAAAAAAATTCAGGAAAGCATCACCAAACAGAAAACAGAATTTTAGGGCTTAAAGACAAAGTTGATAAATTATCATACTCAGAAATAAAAGAAAAAGGGCCAAGGATTTAGCTCAGTGGTTTCGCTGCCTGCTGTGCAAGCGCAAGGACCCGAGTTCAATCCTCAGTACCAAAAAAAAAAAAAAGAAATAAAAGAAAAAAAAAAGGTATAAACAAAATACCAAAAACTCTAGGATAAAGTTAAAAGATCCAACTTACAAATGTTTGGTATAGAAGAGATCATGTAACTAAAAGCAAAGAAAATCTATTCAGTAAAATAATAGTAAAAAACTTCCCAAATCTTGGGAAAAATTATGAATATCCAAGTACAGAAGGCATTACACCAAACAGGGATGACCAGAAAAAACCTCTCCACATCATATCATAATTAAAGTGCCAAGAATACAGAATAAGGGAAGAATATTAAAAGCTACAAGACAGAAATTCCAAGTCACTTAAAAAGGCAAATCCATTACAATAACTGCAGATTTCTCTACAGAAATACTGACAGCCAGGAGGGTATGAAATAATATAATTCAAGCCCTGAAAGAAAATCACTACTTATCTACATTATTATATATCCAGTGAAGCTATCATTAAGAATTGAAAGAGAAGGGGCCGGGGACTTAGCTCAGTCGTTCTCCCACCTGCCTCGCAAGCACAAGGACCCGAGTTTGATCCCTGGTACCAAAAAAAAAAAAAAAAAAAAGAGAAATAAAGACCTTCCAAGATAAGTACAAACTAAAGGAATTCATGACCACTATGGCAGTACTGAAGAACAAACATACTTAAAGGAATACTACAGAGGGAAGAAGAAGAATATATAAGCAAATAAGAATTAGGGAAGAATCAAACACTAGAAAAACAAAACAAAATGAGAAATTAGTACGTACACTTCTACAATAACTCAGAATGTAAATGGTCTGAATTCTCCAATTAAAAGGCACAGACTAGCAGAATGGATTAAAAAACAAGACCCAATTGCTGCCACCTGCCTCCCAAGTGCAAGGTCCCAAGTTGGATCCCCACTACCAAAAAAAAGATCCCAATCCTTTGCTGCCTGCAAAAAACACACCTCACCAGAAAAGACATGCAGACTGAAAGTGAAAGGATGGTAAAGGATATTCCATGCAAATGGAACTCTGACAGTAAACAGGAGTAGCTACAAGTATATCCCACAAAGCAAACTTCAAGACAAAATTAGATGAGACAAAGAAGGCCACTACGTCCTGGTAAAGGGAACAATTATCATGAAGATGTAATAAATGTAAATATACATAAACTGAACATCAGTTTATCCAATTTTATAAAACAAACACTACTCATCATAAATGGATACACAGGCCCCAATAATAATGGGTGGCTTCAATACTCCACTCTCACCAATAGATAAATCATCCAGTTTTTAAAAAATCAACAAACATCAGAGTTATATAGTGGTACCTCAATTAAAACACTTAATTCGTTCCATGATTCTAGAAAAGACAGTCACATTCATGTTTGTGCAGGAAAGATGGCTGCGGTCATGTTCATCACCTGGTGCAGAGTTCACAAACAAAAACAAAATTTTGCCAAATGCTTCTGTTGACAAAGTGTTCATGAACTGAGGTACCACTGTATTATACTATAGATCAAATGGATTTAACAGATACCTACATTTTTTCCAGTAACTGCAAAATACACATTCTTTCAGCTCACAGAACGTTCCCCAAAATAGATCATATTCTAGGCCATAAAGTCTTAACAAATATAAAAAATTGAAATATTTTCTTGTATCTTATCAGACCATAATGGAATTAAACTAGAAATGACCCACAAGAGAAACTACAGAAGCTATACAAACACATGGAGATTAATTCACTTTTGAATGATTAGTGTGTCATTGAAGAAATCAAAAGGGAAATTTTAAAATTCCTCTCTTGTACTGAATTTTGAAAGTAAGAGTATTTTGCTATGTTCATTCTATATTTACTGTTATTTTCTGTCAAGCGTCTTATGCACATATAATTCCTACCAAATAAAGCCAGAAATAATCTCTTTAAATTTTTTAGATTTAAAATTCACTGTATTTTCAAATCACATCTCATAAATGCTACACACTGCAATCAAGAAACCTAGGATGCTAAAAAAAAAATTGCTTTGCTAAATTAAGAAGCATCTATTTTAACACGTTCCTGCCAGCTTCTACCACCAGCGGTATATGCACAACTGTCCCCTTTTGGTAGCTTGTACCACCCAATGAGAACATTCTATGCTGCCCAATGGGATAGTCATGCATGTACTACATTCAGAGCCACCCAGAAGTAAGACATACAAATCATGCCCCCATCATAAACGTATTATAACAATTCATTTAAACTAGGCTTAGTTCTCTTGCTTTCCTGTATTTCATATTTTCAAAGTCTGGATAAGTGTTAACATTAAATTAGTTCAATGCTGAACTGTGAAATATTAATGAAAATTCAGCTTCACTGATTTAGCATTACCACTTGTTGTCAAAACATGAACAAAACATAGTATATTGTAGAAAATCAATATATTTTCTCTGTTTTAATAAGATATTTAAGATACTGAAAAAGAACTGACATTTATCTGCTCGTTGTGGGCAGTGATTATCTCTGAATCTCAGTGTTTAAGAATAAAGTGGAATCCTACATATAATAAAAATTATCTTTAATTTTTAAAAGTTTGCTTATAGTAAATGAAATGAAATTTTTGGTCAGATTTTTATATACCTTAAAAGTAGAAAGTCCATAAAGTCTTGTAGTATGAACAGTTTCTTGAGAAATATTTGTAATATTAGTGATAAAGTCCTCAAGGTATTTACAAGCTTGTTCCAGGTGAGTTGTGTTTATGATGATTTGCACTAGCTAGAAAACACAAAATATACCCAGTAAAATAAAAGTTACACATATGCAACATTTCTTGATTTTTTTTAAAAAACAGGATTGCTTCTAGCAACTATACCACTTCTGTATAATTACAGCAATACAGGATATAAGTGATTAACTGATTTCAAAAATCTGCTGTAAATACTGCTTACAAATAGTAACATTATTAACATATATATGAATACACAAAGAATACTATTTTAGTGTAACTTTAGTAATAATTCTTTAGTGTAAATTTTCATATGTTATATATTTAACAAGTAAAAAATGAGGATTTTGGCTCCCCAAATAAAGTGTAGCAACCAGAATTTCAAATACATATATTCGTATCTTCAACTATCTACTTCCCATGTTAAATTCCTTCCCACCACACTTCTTGAATCTGCATCAGTGATTAAATTCTCTAAAACTCTGCTTATAGTACGAACTTAGTTTTATAGGACGGTGTTCAGCAATAACTTAAAATAATTTTTCACATACTAAAATGTATGGCTATTACAAAAATAATTTTATAGAATGATGTTCAGCAATAACTTGTAATAACTTTTTCATATAATAAAACAATTGGCTCTTTGTCTTCTTAACCTACCTCTGTCAAACCTATATGTGGTTTTTTAATAAGGTTCAGTAAACAGATACTCAAAGTTCTCGTCAGCAGCAGATTCGTTGATTTTCTAAGCATATCATCTATTTCAGTTGAACTAAAAACAAAGATTAATATTATTAAAGTTTTCAAGGGCACAATTAATATTCTAAGTAATTTAATATAATTTATAAAGTAAGTTGCTCTTAGTTATTTTATATCTTTAAATTGTAATTAATTCATACTAAATCATAAACTTCAATTTAGTTTTTAAAAGGGTACATTTTCAATAAAGTAGAATGTTCATTTGTAGGATATTTAAATGTATTCAATCAATCACTACAGAAAAACCTCATGAGGTACTTAGTATAAGGAAACAAAGCTATTCTTAAATTATTGACTTCATTGTAGGACAGTCACTTTGCAAGATACTTCATATACAATTAAAGCTAAAAATTATTTTAAAATATAAATTGATATAAT